CTCTTCTGGTCTTTGGTCTTTAGTGTTTAATGTATCAAATCTGTTCTTCAGATGATCTCTAAATTCAGGTGGAATATATTCAAGGTCATATTTTGGCTCTCATGGACTTGTTTTCATTTTCTTCAGCCTCAGTTTGATCATCAGTTGCATATGAGTAATTGATGATCTGTTCCACAGTCTGCCCCTGGCCTTGTTTTCACTGATGATATAGAGCTTTTCCATCGTCTCTTTCCACAGATGTAGTCAATTTGATTTCTGTGTATTCCATCTGGTGAGGTCCATGTATATAGTGGTCCCTTATACTGTCTAAAGAAGGTATTTGAAATGAATCAATCATTGGTTTTGCAGAATTCTCTCATGCATTCTCCAGCATCATTTCTATCACCAAGGCCATATTTTCCAACAACTCTTTGCTCCCAACCTTTGCATTCCAGTCACCACTAATGATCAATACATCTTGATTGTATGTTTGATCGATTTCTGATTGAAGAAGTTGGTAGAATACTTCTATTTCATCTTCACTGGCTTTAGTGTGGTTGGTACATAAATTTGAATACTAGTGGTATTAACTGGGCTTCCCTGTAGGCGCATGGATATTATCCTATCACAGACAGCATTGTACCTCATGACTGATCTGGATTTGTTCTTTTTGACAATGAAAGCAAAGCCATTTCTCTTCAATTTGTCATTCCCAGCATAGTAAACCATGTGGTTGTCAGATTCAAAATGGCCAATACCAGTCCATTTCAGCTCATTAATGCCTAAGATATAGATGTTTATATGTTCCATATTCATTTTTGACAACTCGCAGTTTTTCCAGATTCATACTTCATACATTCCATGTTCCGATTTTCAGTGGATATTTACAGCTGTTTCTCTACACTTTAAGTTGTGCCCCATCAGCAGATGAAGGTCCCGTGGGCTTTACTCCCATGGGCTTTACTCCAATCACGTCATCATGGTCAGCTCTACTTTGAGGAGGCAACTCTTCCTCAGTCGCATTTTGAGTGCCTTCCAATCTGAGGGGCTCATTTTCTGGCACTGCTCTTCATAAGGTATTAAGTGACTAAATATTTGGAAGTAGTTCATCACTCTTACTTCCTAGTCTGTCTTCGTCTGGAAGCTCATCTGAAATCTGTCCACCATGGGTCACTCTACTGGTATTTAAAATACTGGTGGCATAGCTTACAGAATCACAACAACTCACAAGCCACCACAGTACACAAACTGACAGACAAGTGGTGACCGTTTGGTTGTAAGTGGAAACTGTCCATGTAGTCACTGTTAGGTGACTGCAAATACAGAATAGACTATTAGTGTCCCTACCATATCCTGTCCACCACTCATCTGTCAGTTTGTCATACTGTGGTGGCTTACATGTTGCTGTGATTCTGGAAACTATAACAACAGTACTCTAAGTACCAGCAGGGTTTCCAATGGTGGACAGGTTTCAAATTAAGACAGACTAGGAAGGAGAGATAGACTAGTTCTGAATATTTAGTGGCTGAAAACCTTATGAATAGCAGTGGAACACTGTCAGATAGCACAAGAATATTGAATATCATAACATGATGAAGAGGTTGGAATATAAGCCCCTGAGGTTGGAAGGCACTCAAAATATGACTGGGGAAGAGATGCCTCCTCAAAGTAGAGTTGAACATGATGATGTGATTGGAGTAAAGTTTATATGCAGGTTAGACAATGAATAAGGAATACTTAGAAGAATTGATGTAGTTGAGTTATGGTATACCATAACTTCCAAAAGAACAAGCAAATCTGTATTGAAAGAAGTAAAGCCAGAATGTTCTTTAGAAGCCAGTATTTCCAGACTTTGTCTCTCATACTTTGGACATATTATCAGGTTGGACCAGTCCCTGGAGAAGGACATCATGCTTGATAAAGTGGAGGGTCACTGAAAAAGAGGAAGGACCCTTATGAGATGGATTGGCACAGTGACAGAAACAATGGGCTCAAGCATAGCAACAATCGTGAGGTTGGGCCAGGACCTGGAACTGTTTCATTCTGTTGTGCACTGTGTTGCTATGAATTGATACTGACTCGAGGGTACCTAACAACAACAAAACTGTATCCTCCTAGGTCACCCTGAAGGTCACTGCAGCTGTAGTTCCTATGCCTGCTCATGGCCTTCTCTATCAAGTCATTGTATACCTTTGCTTGAGGCTCTGGACACAGAGAAATGCTCAGTCTCACTGGGCAATCTAAAGTGCCAGCCTTCAACCCACAAGTGATGGGAGTTGGAGAATAAGTAACTTCCTTACTGGACTCCTGGTAGGATCTGCACCAGACTGCAAACCACAAACTCAACAGTTCAAACCCACCAGCTGCTCCTTGGAAACCCTATACAGGGTTTCTATGAGTCGGAACTGATTCAACAGCACTTAATAACAACAATGACAACTTACTTACTAAATATATCCCCAGCAGGATTGAGTCTCTGTGGTCCATTGCCAGCACACACTCCTTAAACTGACTTCATCTCTTCCCTTCATCACTCTCCTTACTCTCCTTCCGAAGTTTCTGACATCACCACCCAAATAAACGATGTACACCCAGGTCCTTGTCTCAGGTTCAATCACCATGTCTCCTTTCTCCTCTCTAAAGGTGTGTCATCATGTCTCCTTTCTCCTCTCTTATTTTAAAAAGGGAGATAAAAGTAGAGGAGCAACTGAGGTGGGGCAGTGTCAGGCCTGGTAAAACACCCAGTTGGCCTCACTTCCATGTTGACTCCTAGTTTAAGTCCCGTTTCTATTGTAGAAGGAGCCCTGATAGCACTGTGGGTTAGAAACTGAGCTGCCAGCTGCAAGGTCAGCAGTTCAAAACCCACCAGCTGCTCCAAGGAAGAAAGATAGGGCTGTCTGCTCTCGTGAACATTTACAGTGTCAGAAACCCTGTTTGGGTCATTGAGTGATAATCAACTTGATGGCAATAGGTTTTGTGTGGTTTGGGAGCCTATAATAAAGAAGTGAGGAGTACAAAAGAACAGAAAAGGAAGTTTTCTGCAAAGTGCTTTTCATAACAGTTCATTAAACTCATAGTGAAGTATATACATTTGTACTGTATTTATAGACATGTGTGTTCCAGGTATATCAGGTGTATCGTGTGGTTTCTCTGCTAGTCCTTTTTGCAGGTCACTGCTCCAGTTAACCAGTCTTACTGAGGTGTTTCATAATCAATTAAGCTGAACAAATCAGAGTTCAAAGATATTAAATGACTATCTGGTTTTGTCTTCCAGCTTTCTGGGGTGAATCTGATGATAGCAACTCAGAAATTGAAGCAGTTTTATGTCCTAGAAACCATAACACATCTACTGATGATTTTGATGATTTTTATGACTAATAAACTGTAACACCTGTTGGAAATAAAAGTCTTTAAACAAACTGAAACCTTGCAGTCATGTTCACAATAAACAACTCCTTTTCAAGTTTTTAATTTTTCAATGTGAAAATTTGTGGCCACTTTGCTGTTTAAGTTAAATTTCATGATAAAATATGAACCAGTCTATTTAATTTTAAATGTTATCAAAAAGTAAGGTGATACTCGCTGAGCTCAAAATCTACTAATCAGCCACAATGGTCAAAACAGCCTGGTACTAATACAATTAAAGACACATAGATTAATGGAACCGAATTGAGAACCCAGAAGTAAATCCATCTACATACAGTCAGCTGATCTTGGACAAAAGGTCAAAACACATTAAATGGGGAAGAGAGTCCTTCAACAAATGGTGCTAGCAAAGACATAATTACAAAACACATACACAAAACAAAAACAAACTCAATGTGAATTTAAGACCTAAATGTAGAACATATAACTAAAAAGATCATCAATAAGAAATGGGGGAGAACTTAGGGGCTATTGTATATTGCATTAATACACTGTCAACCATATCTAATAACACACAACCAGTAGAATACAAAATAGATGACCTCTTAAAAATTAGACACTTATGTACGTCAAAAGATTTTGCCAAAAGAGAGCCCACAGACTGGGAATTTTTTTTTTTTTTTTTGCAATGACATATTTGGCAAGAGGCTAATCTCTAAATTTACAGAAAACTACAACACCTCTATGAGAAAAAGACAACCCAATGAAAAAATGGACACAGAGCATGAACAGACACTTCACCAAAGAACACATTTAGGCAGCCAAAAAAACCTATGAAGAAATGTCCACAATCATTAGCCAGTAAAGAGATACAAATCAAAACAATGAGATATCATCTCACCCCAGCATTAATAGCAAAGTTCAAAAATACAGAAAACAACAAATGCTGTCAAGGGTGTGGAGAAACGGGGACCCTCCTGCATTGCTGGTGGGGCTGTAAAACGGTTCAACAACTCTGGAAAACGATATGGTGCTTCTTCAGAAAGTTCAAAATAGAAATACCTATGACCCAGCAATTTCTCTACTGGTTATATAAGCCACAAGAAGTAAGAGCCAGGATACATGTAGATCTACGCACACTGATGTTCATCGCAGCACTATTCACAATAGCAAAAAGATGGATATAGCCTAAGTACCCATCAATGAAAGAATGAATAAACAACTTTGGTACATACATACAATGGAATACTATGCAATGTTGGAGAGTAACAATGAATTTCAAAACACCTCATAACATGGATGAACCTGGAGTGAAATTATGCTGAGTGAAATTAGTCGATCAATAAAGGACAAATATTGAATGAGACCACTATTATAAAAATTCAGGAAAATGCTTTCATGCTGAAAAAAAAAATTCTTTAATGGATATAGGGGTGGGAGGAAAGGAAGAGTAATTCATTGGCTAGAGGTGAGACACACATTAACTTGGGTGGCTGGGAGGGTAATATACAAGAAGTAGGAGCTTGGGAGAAGAATGATGAAGACATGAAGACACAGGGAGGTATGAAAGGACTAAAGGGGAAGGAGGTAAATAGTGTTATTTACACAACCTTGAAACAAAAGTGTCCTGTGGGTAGATAACATGGATATATATACCCCTTGAATGGGTATAGGAGGAAGAGTGGGACTATACCTACACATGTATAAAGGAATGAAAGGGGATGTTTGTTCATGGGTATTTTACTTTTATTGCAAACACAACTATGGATGTAATGAAGCATACAGAAGGCAAAATGATGAGAACTTCTTAAACATCATCAATAATCATTAGGCAATGAGTTGCTGGGCCTGAGGACTCTGGACTACTGTCTTAGGGAACATCATTTGGCCTTCTGTGTGCTCCACTGTATTCATTGTTATGGTCAGCTGGCTTAACAGTCCACAAAGACAATGTTCTATAGCCTTTTTTTAGTAGCTTTTGAGATCTTCCTGAGCAACCATCTAAGGTATAACTATTGATCTCTCCACGTGTGGAAGAAAGAAGAGTGTTGAGAATTGAAGATGCTTGGAAACAATTAGTCCAGTGAAATAATGGAGCATGTAAACATCCATCTCTACAACTCTGAGACCAGATGAACTAGATGATACAGGGTAACCACTACCAACTGCTCTGAAAGGGATCACATTAGAAGGTCCCAGATAGAGTGGGAGAAAATGTGGAACAAAACTCAAAATTATACAAATTAAGACTGGGCTTACTGGTCAGAAAGAGACTAGAAGAACCCTAGACTATGCCCCTCAACCACTCCTCAGGTCTAGAAAGCAACTCACCCTTGCAGCCCAATTTTCAGTCAAGCAGTAGATAGGTAAATAGGGGAGACAACACTAGTAAGGTATGCACACCATGGAATGGTCAATCATTCAAAATCAAAAGGCAACATTCACCTAAGGACAAAGTTGAGAAGGGATTTGAAGGAGAGTAGAATGGGACTAGGAACCACCCAGAGGAAGTGGGATAGCTGTTGTTTCATGAAGGAGATTGCAATCATTGAGATGAAACAAAGTATAATCTTGTCTGTAAGACTTCACTCAATTCACAGAAGTTTGTGTTTTTTTTTTTTAATGTAGAAATTGTTGAATGGAAAACCAATTCATTCTGTAAACTTTAACCCAAACCACACACACACATACAAACAGCAACAAAAATAACAAGAAAACTCGAACAAAATGAACTCAGCACAGAAAATTATGTGGAACAAAGAAACTAGTAGAACCACCAACACACACACACACACACACAGCAATCAATTCACACCTATCATAATTACACTATAAATGGATTAAATGCATTAGACAAGAGCTAGAAGTAGAATAGATAAGAAAACAGGATCCTTCACTATGCTGTCTACAAGAGGCACACAAAAAGATCTTAAAAGCTCATAAGTGGACATCTGAAATGTAGTCTCTCCCAGTCCAGAGGAGAGAAGAGTGATGAAAAGGGAAGATGCTTCCATTAGACCAATGAACTAATGCAACATGTGAACATCCGCCTCTACAAGCCTTAAATCAAAAGATCTAGATGGTGTCTATTTACCACTACCAACTGCTCTGAAAGGGATCATGTTAGAAGGTCCTGGATAGAAAGGGAGAAAATGTGAACAACAAAAAAAATCAAGATAAACAATCAAGCTTACTGGTCAAATAAAGACTGGAGAAACCCTGAGACTATGGTCCACGGTCACAATTCAGGTCTGGAACTGAACTCACACGTGTGGCTCAATTTTCAGCCAAATAATGGTATTCCTGGTGTTGGTGCTAACCATAAATTCAGTGGTTAAACACACACACACAATAGATAGATGGGACCCTGGTGTGATGCAGTAAGATAAGCACTGCACTGCTAACTGAAAAGCCAGCAGTTCAAACCCATCAGCCACTCCTCAGAAACCCTATACAGAATTGCTGTGAGTCGTTGTCAGACTGACTTGACAGCACTTATCCACAGTGTTGCTGTTAAGTGCCACCAAGTTGATTCGGATTCAACCCTATATAGGGTTTCCAAGGAGCAGCTGGTGAGTTTGAACCACGAACCTTGTGACTCAACCGACCTTGCAGTCCAGCGCTTTAATAGATAGGCATATGGGGAATAGGGTGGGTAACAACACTGGTGAGGTACGCATCCCATAGAGATCAACCATTTGATATCAAAAGAACAGAATTTACCTAAGGACAAAATTTAGAAGGGTTGGGAAAGAAGGAGGGATGGAAACAATCACAGGGAGGAAGTGGGATAAGTGGTGTTAAATTGAGGGGATTGCAATTGAGATGAAGTGTATGATTTGTTGAATAAAAGACTGATGATCTCCTTTGTAAACCCTCAATTCGCAACAAAAAGTTTTTTGAAAAATAAGGTGATAAGTGCAACATCTGGAGGAGGCAGCAAGATAGAGGATTAGGCAGAAACACTATACAGACCTTCTAACAACAAAGATCTGAAAAATTAAATGAAACATGCTGGTGATAGTCCCAAAACTGTGATCTTCTGTGAAAGGATAGAGAAGTGGACTGAGTGCTTACAAGGAGACAAAGCTGAATCAATGTGGCCAAAAAAAAAAAAAAAAAAAAGGAGATAAACAGAAGAACTATGCCGGCCAACCAGACGCAGCATGACCATCTTAAACTTGTGAGCAGTTTTAAAGACAACACGGTGACTTCGTAGTGCAGAGACATACTGGTGACTTGTGGAGATAAAGGTGCATTTTTTTCTTGTTTCCCAAACTCTCCTGATGAGCAGCGGTGTGGCCAGCCCCCACTAGTGTATACCCCCAACCAGAGTTGCACGTTGGTTACATCAAAGTTGAGCTGAATGCTGTCTGCACCAACCCTGGTTTGTGAGTTCAGGTAAGCCCTGCTCCAAACCACTTGCACTGTCCCTGGCCAGCCCTGTACAAGCCCTCACTAGAAGAAGCTCAACAGACGCAGAACAAAACAGTTGATTTTTGCCTGTCCGCCAGGCATCTGGAGACCATCTTGAACGTATCTTTGAAGGCACAGGGCAGCTTGCTGGTGCAAAGACATTGCTTACTGGCAGAAAGAAAGGTGTGATATTTTTTCTTGTTCCTCAGGTTACCCTGATGACCAAAGGTGTGGTCAGCCCCCACCTGATATACCCCCAGCGAAGCTCAGGTTTTCCAGACAATGTTGTTGTTGTTGTTAAGTGCCGTTGAGTCGGTTCCGACCCATAGCGACCCTGTACAGGGTTTCTGATGGTGTAAATCTTTACGGGAGTAGAAAGCCTCATCTTTCTCCCGCGGAGCGGCTGGTAGTTTCGAACCGCTGACCTTACGGTTCGCAGCCCGATTTGTAAACACTACGCTACAATGGAGCTGCACAATGGGAACTGCGAAGCTGTGACCCTCACCAAGGTGAATTGGGAGCTATCAGCACCAACTCTGGCACCTGGATTCAGGTGAGGCCTGCTCTACACTAACAACTGGTTCTAAACGCCCAGC